ACCCTTTTCTGTAGCAGTTTAATGTCCTGGCTGCAGATTCTTTAAAACTCCTATTACCTGTCAGGCTCAAATCTTGAGGTGGATGTTCTGAGGTGGCTTCAGCCGGTAGATGGCAGTGTGTTCTTAGTCTTACCTTCAATCAGCATCTTTTTCAAAAAAAATTATTTATTTTACATCCTGACCACAGTTCCCCCTCCCTCCTCTCCTCCCATTCTCTTCCCCCATCTCGGTTCTATTTCCACCCCCCAATCCACTCCTCCTCTGTTTCTGTTCAGAAAGGGGCAGGCCTCCTGTAGATAGCAACAAAGCCTCTCCTTGTATTAAGGATGGGCAAGATAACCAAGTATGAGGAATAGTTTTGCAAAAGTCAGCAAATAGCTCCTACTTCCACTGCTATGAATCGCACAAGTAGACCAAGCTACATGACTGTTACATATATGTAGAAAGTCGGTCCCATGCAGGCTCCCTGCTGTTGGTTCAGACTCTGTGAGCTCTTATGAGCCCAGGTTAGTTGTTTCTGGGGATTCCCTTGTGATGTCCCTGTCCCTCCTGCCTGGGACAATCCTTCCTCCCTCTCTTCTTCAAGATTCTCCAAGCTGGGACCAATGCTTGGCTGTGGGTCTCTGCATCTGTTTCCACCAGTTACTGGATAACGGCTCTCTGATGACAACTGGGGCAGTGCCAGTCTATGAGTATGACAGAATATAGACCTCAGTTTAAAGTTCTTAGAACTGCCAACATCCTCATTCAAACTTCCATGTACACACCCTAGCGATGCACCTAGGGTATTCTCCTAGGTGATTTCAAAGCCAGGCAAGTGGCAATGAAGATTAACTATCTTAAGCATATGTGCTTAAATTTTCCTCCCAAAAGTTTGATACCAGTCTTCCCCTGTACCTGTATCTATTGACACTTACAACTTGTCCTCTGGATTTAAACCAACTGCAGATTCCCAACACTTGGGAGGCTCACACTGCAGAGAGTTTGAAGACAACTTGGGGTACACAGCAAAACTCTGTCTTATAAAAACAAAATAAGGGGTTGTGGATTCAGTTCAGTGGGTAGAGTGCTTGCTGGCATTCGTGAAACCTTGGGTTCAGTCTTCAGTCTCTCATAACACTGATGGTGTTGATGAACGCCTGGAATCCCAGCACTTTGGTGCTGCAGGAAGGAGGATCAAGGCAGATTGGGCGACATGAGACCTTGCCTCAAACCCAAACTCTCCCTTTCTCTGCAAACACCTGTGACCCCAGTAGCCATTGTGACAGTTGTCTTTGGCCAGAGAAATCTCTGCTCTGAGTTCATAGCAGTGCTGCCCCAGGCTGAGCCTTTAGCAGTGCCCCTCACCACTGGGCTAGCCTGGGCTGCCTTTTGCTCCCTTGTCACTGCAGTCACCCTCCTGAGAAAGCTGAAAAGAAGTTTCAAAACCACAGTCTCCCTGGCAGGCTTGTGGCTGCTTGCTGCTTTCAACCACCCCTTCCTGTTGGGGTGTCATGTGGGTGGCCTGGCCCTTTAAGGCTTGGCTTACACTGTTAGAGAAAGGCTGCCGGCTGCAGAAAGCCAAGTCCAGGCAGAGAAAAGCTGTGAACAGGTACAGTATGCTTGAAAATGTGCGTAGGTGTTTCTAGGTCTAAAAGCATATTTTTCCATAGTAATACAAGTTATGACAGAAAGTGATTTAGGTACAAAACTTTGGATTCATCAAGATAGGATAGATAATGGAGTACTTTCTCCAAAGTTGTTAAATACAAATGGGCTGGACATTGGGAATGTAATTCTTACCTGATAATTGTTTTTATTGTATATAGTTTATTGATGTTAGAGAAAGAGCACTTTACTGGATTTGTAAAAGGGGGAAATGTTAGGATAATCTTTTTGTACGATACATGGAGTTATCACTCTCCATCCTCACTGCTTAGTTTAATAAAGAGCTGAATGACCAAGCTAGACAGGAGAGGATTGGTGGGACTTCTGGGCAGAGATAGGAACTCTGGGAAAGAATAGAGGTGCAGGAGATTCCCCAGTCAGCCATGGAGGAAGTCAGCCTAGGGTACTGAGGAGAGGGAACTAGACATGTGCAGAACGTAGATTAATATAAACAAGTTAATTTAAGTATTAAGAAGTAATTGGGAACAAGCCTAAGCTAAGGCCAAGTTTTCATAATTAATAAAAATTCTCTGTGTCATTATTCAGGAGCCGGCAGTCCACAGAAGGCCTGTTACATGCTCTCCTCTCCCATGATCCCCTGCAAATAACTCATGTCGCGGGTGAGCAGAGGGATTGGCTGTATTGTATCTGTCTCTACTGTTCTGTCTATCTGTGTCTCTCCTTGGGAGTCCCACCCATCTTTCAAGTTCAGAACTAGCATTGCACCTATCACCTGTACCACACATGAATGACTTGGTCTTCTCAAAGACTGGCATCCTCTTTCGGGAAATGTGCAAAAGGGAGAAGTTGTCTAGGACGTAAACAAGAGAGACCTAAAGGAAATTCAGGCTGAGCTTTGAGTTCTTGCCGGGTGCTGGCATCAGTCACCTCCACGGCCAGGAGAGGAGGCAGGACCATGTGGCTGTTCCCTGCTCTGCTCCTCTTCCTCCCAGGTAAGTATCTGGGGCTTTAAGACATCACAGAGTCAGTGGTGGCACAGGACACAGAGTCTGCCCTGGGTTAGGGAAAACAGGAAAGGCTAATTCATTCACCAGCTGCTTACTCC